TTATTGTGACGGTTTGGAAGCTAATTGGAACTTTGGCAGCTGAATAAGGACTTTTGAAAAGAGACAGCTGGAGAAAGAGGAACGGAATATAAGTGTTGCCCTTTATCAGATCGAATGAGCAATGATGGATTTGGCACTTGCTTCAAAGTCCGATGCGACCTATTCATAGAGCTCGACGAGACGAAAGTATAAAGAAGCCGGTGACGCGTGCGCGGCAGGGAGGTGGTAGGACGGCTCGCCGGGGAATAAAAAGTCCATTGATCGCGCGGCTCGAGGCATCGTCATCGCTGCCTCGTCAAAGACCTTGGCTATCTCCGCGCGCAGAGAGCAGCCTGCGCCACTTACACGCCATAAACATTTCATCGCTCTCCACTCACGATTGCCGCGCACGAGCGCCCCGCGGAGAAGAGACGAGCAAGCAGAGAAAACACAACGCCGCCCACGCACCGAGCGGAGCCTCGCGCTATCTTCCGCTTTGCGTGCGACCAGCTCCAATCCATCACGCCTGGCGCTTCGATTCAGTCCTGCGCGCACGAGCACTTTCGGGACAACTTTCCACGCGTGCTTTCCTCTGCGCTTGCCCGTGACCACTCGAGGCGCAGGCCAAAATTTCGTAAGACGACACCGCGTCACTCCTCGCTGCCACTCAATTTTCCGAATTCCTTCGCGCTGGAGGTCTCATCGCTCTGACCCCAGTCGCCACTAATTTCGTGCCTATTTATTACCCCAACTATTCCGTCTCTCGAGGCGCCCATTACAATTAGCTCGTTTACAGAAACGCTGCCTCTTCTTACTTTAGACTTTCTCGACTAAATATCTTTCAACCTCTTTCACCTCTTTTATACACGAGTCAGAGTCATAAGATTCATTGCTTGGACGACAACAAATGTTTTACAAGCCAACAACGATTTCATTCAATTTCACACGTTCATTTTCCAATCTAACGTTCGACGTGAGGAATTGACAAATAAAGTAAGACGCAACTTTAACCTGATCCCAAGGGGGAATCTTCTTGGAAAAGTACCGATAAGGCGATAAATTACCGCTCTTTGATCTTCTTTGCACCCTCGGCTCAAGTGTTGTCGCGCCTTTGCTCCAATTAGGTTGCGGCCCATTAATATTCCAAATACAGATTTCTCAATTTTCCAAGCTGGCATTATCGCAGTTGAGAAGCTTGAGCCGATGTGTGTGGAAGTAAAAAATGAGCTGTGTTTGGTATGCATAAAACACCCCTGGTCATTTATCTGCTGAGCGTGTGAAGAAATTCAAAAGGAATTATTTCAAAAGATAAGCTCGAGAGTCAGAACTTGAAATGTATAAGAACATTGATCATCGGTACATTTGTTTAGTTTCTTGTTAGAACGTTTTTATAACTTTTAAAACATTTTATTTTGCTTATTCAGCATTTTTCAATGAATATAATTAGATCGTTAATAAAACGAAAACTTACTTAATTTTATGCCGATGCAATAAACATAAATTTTTAAAATGCAAAAGGAAAAAGAGAGCATAAAGGCATGGTAAATAGACAAATAATAGTGGCCAAGTTATATTATCATAAACCTGTCAAGGATATTGCAAACATTAGACGCGTGCGCCTTTTGAGAAGTTCCGCTGCATCCGGTTTTCGTAGCCCTATTCTCAACTTTCGACTTTTCTTCTTTTTCTTTATTATACTTTTTAAGACAACTCGCAGTAGTTTCCAAAATCGGATGCCAGTTTTTTCTAAAGCACGCGAGTTTGTCCCTGTGACCGTTTTTAATTATTTTTCAGTTAGTATTGAGTAATTCGATCTTCTGATAAATTTTTCTTCTTTTTACACTTTCTTTTCACTGCAATATTTACAAAATTGAAATAGTATAAATAAAAAAATCACGATATATATGAGATGGTAAAGTTTTAATTTATAGTAGACCTTAAGAGCCTAAGAAGAACGCTTATCTGACAATATACGGCGACAGACACGTTGAAGTGACTGGACAATTTTTATGGTTTCTACCAGATGATAATACCAAGAGCACTCTTTATAGAAAAAGATCAAATTATAATTAATATCTAAAGTTGAATTAAATAGTACTCTTTATTGCGTATCAATGTCGATGTACAGCGTACACTGCTGAATCAGTCTATTACTTGAATAAGTCTCTCTCTCTTTCTTTCTCACAACGCTCACGCTCAAGTCCTTGAAACGCTGCAAATATTGCCTTCGGAAGCTGCAGACGTTCGATAATTTTCTGTATAAGTTGAAGCGACATCTTTTCTACTTTTGTCTTCACGAACTAATGGAAGCCATTATAAAAATTGTTAGTAAATAATGGGCGATGAGCATCCAACAGAGACGGGCAAAACTCGCAAGTGCACACACACACACACATGTATGAGCAGTTCAGAGTTCGCGTCGGGTCAGCTGGAATACTAACGAGCGTGCGCGCTCTCGCTTAATACCATTTCTTCTTGCTAGTCGAATGAGCATTGACGTCACGAAATTTCCATTGGCGATCGTCGTTTTCGTGTTGTGTAGCTTGCACAACCGCCATTAAGAGAACGTGAGCTCACGCGGCCCCTTGGCTCGATTGCTTTTTTCCTCGATCTTTCTTTTCTCTGAGCTGCCAGCGACTTGCGATTCATTCGGTTCGTACAGTGTCAGATCTCATACTGTGCATACCTGTTATCGTCTTGTACATAATTTCGCCAATCAATTTTCCGCATGACGTGACATAATTTCGTACATTAAAATACTATCTCCTTTGTGTGACATCGATACATAATCAATTAGAATAATTGCAGTACATTTGATCTCGTATGAAAAATGCTTCAATTATATGTATATATTGAACAGCAAATTTTCAACATTTCAACTCATTTGCTGATTGCAATATTCTAATGTAGTCACCTTCAAAACAAATTTTCAGTTAGTCGTTTGAATATTTCATATTTCGAAAAAAGTAACAATTTTTTAAATATCTGATCCAGCTACGATATTTCACGCAATTCTAAAAACCTTATCACACAGATCTTCTTATTTAAACTCATCATTATGCCATTTCTCGTTATCTATAGCTAAAATTAATCTAAAACAAAAATAAATTGGTTCTGATGAAGAAAGTTCAAACATAAATAAATTAAATCGTTACAATAGTAAAATTGGTGACTAGATAATTCTTACCGCTTAATTTTTTTCCTTTTGTATGATTACATTATTTGTTACGTATTTCAAGTATTTTTCGTGGAACAAAAAAAGCAAATATAATTGAAAAATTAGAGACAATGTTTTTATCACGAAACCAAAAGTTTTGATACGAGTACAGAATTGAACTGCAAAAAATGCATTGATTGCAAAAAACCTATTGCTTATGTAAAAAGTATATCATGGAGTACATTGAAATGAGATCATAACACTCACTAAAATGAAGATGCAAATTGTAACGAATAAAAATAGAATATATTATAGAAAATATGTATCGAGATGATAGCTACAAGTTAACTGTTCAACTGCAGCCGCGTGAGTTTGCACATGGATGAAGCATATATCTGAAGCTCGTAATCGTGGTGGTCGCGTGCCGGCAACTCGTGGCGGCGTCTCGTATCACCTTGTCAGCCCCGTACTATCACGGTTCTTATCGTTGACTTGCCATTCGATAAGTCTCTTTTTCTGTTATATACGTCTACATTGTATACATCGCCAAGCTCCTATAATCGCGATATCTTAATTGCGGCTAGAACATTCATACACGCGGAATCAGGTCAGATGAATTTATATATCTTATACTTTTACCTGAGTATATTTAGCACCTGATTGCGATCATAATGCTACTTTTTATTGTTTCACACTTTTTCTACGTTTTTCAAATTACATTGCAATGAAGGCAAAATTGAGTAAATATCGATCCACAACTTCAGCTTACAAAAATAATTTTTTGATAGTGTTAGATTTGTGGCACTAAGTATATTCTTAATACAATTTTCTGAAACAATAGGAAAATTCAATTTTATCTGATTTCTTTTAAAACTCAAAGGCATTTCTAACGGATATTCCTTTCAGTCACTATTTCAATTTGTGAAATTCGTGTCACATTATCTAAAAGATATTCTTTTGACTTTTCAGATTCACAGACTTGAGATGTTCCTTTGTCAAGTTAGGGTATTCCACAAATTATACGAGCTATAAGAATCTCTGTAAGCTAACAACTAAATTCTGAAATCCTAGTGAATAAGATAATGCAATTTTTTAATATTAGGCTTTGCGCAATAACAACAGGTTCAAGAATGTTCTACATAGAACATTCTATACAATGTATATATATATATATATATATATATATATATATATATATATAATTTGAGTTACAAATACATAAGATCATTTCATTGTAACTGACAGAACGTGTTTTCGTGAATCCGTGGAAAGATAACGGGAATAACCCCTGACCTCTCGTCATTCGAAACCGTCTTCCTCTTATTGCTGTATTGGCTTTCTACAGTGTTTCCATTTGAAATAAATACAAATCTACTGATATTTTACTGACAATACATAAATTGTTTGTTAGTGGTTTTTGATATCGTAAATCAATAAAGACGATAGTAAAACAAGACAGTAAGATTTTTTCAGCTACACCGAGTTACCATGTCATTATCCTTGAAAATTTTCATTGAATACAGTTTGTTTTGTTCAGCTGAATATTATTTTGCTCTTGATAGCCATTGTCGGGTCGATCCAATCATTTGATCGTTGTGCAATTTCAAAGTTATTGGTCATCTAACAAAAAATTCATTTAGCAGAGCTGTTTGTTGAGCTTTTAATAAGCTTTTAAATAAAAACAAAAGTAAAATTGGTAATTTTCCCTAGATGTCGCGCAGTGCTGACTATAGAACGAATACGTGACAGGACAGTTGAAATATAGCGGCGCACTTGTCTGTCGACGAACTGATATATCGCGATAATTAAGCAATTGAAAGCGAATGAAACGGTCGAACTGATGGTTGTGTGTGGGATAATGTAGAGACGAGCCATCGAGATGCCCCTCCGGCTGAAGCCGAGACAAACGGTTTACAAGTGGAACGCGCGCTGAGCCGGCGGCTGGAGGAGGAAGGCGAGGGCGGAGTTAGCGGGTCGCCAGGCGTGGCCGAGGCGGGACATCCGGACGGGGCGAAAAATGGCGTCGACTGCGGCGTCGTCGAACAGCGGCACCAGCAACAGTGGCTTGCCACCGGTTGCTCCCAACACTCGCAGTCCGACGCGATCGCTTATCACGGACTGCAGGCCAGCTTCGCCCTCAGGCAACTCGCTTACTTGGAGCAGCAGCAGCAGCAGCAGCAGCAGCAGCACACTCTAGGCAGTCAACGGTCAGACTCTGTCATTTACTTACTTTTTGCTTGTCATTCTTCCGATCCGAGTGCCATATTCCAGGCTCGAGCACGTTATTGAAAAATCTAACTCTCCAAGCATCCTCGTATCTTCCTTGTAATATTATTTACTGCTGCGTAGCGGAGCCCGCTAGACTGCAAGCGATCTTATAATAAAATATTAGTCGAGCAAAGTTTCAAGTAATTGTTAAGCTTACAAAGCGAAGAAAATAATGCTGCGTGCTTTTACCCGAGACAACTGCTGACGTACTCAACAACATCTTCATGTATACATTTCATTATTCAGCTAATTGTTTTATCACCAATGCATGCGATTGCTACTATCGTTAACTATTCGATTAGGTTATTGTATAATACAACGATAATGTTTAGAGCACAAAAGTAAATGAACATTCTTTAGTGGAATTTTTAAAGATAAATTTAATATCAATACGTTTAGGAATAAACATGACGATAATCCATGTGTGTTTATATCGATTGATTCCGTTCAATAATAGACTATTCACTTTTTAGAAGCATTATTGATTCATCCTAATCTCATCAAACGTGTGATATAAATGTTACGTTTCCCAAGAAATCCACATTGCGAGGTATACCAACATTACACGAAACCAAGATACGTTAGATACATTTTTTTATACATATTTCCATAAGATCTTTAGCACAAGGTAAAACCTTAGAATCTTCATTTCTTAGAATGTTAGGCTTCGTTTCTAAGAGATCATTTATCACATTCTTAGGGATATTACAATTACACCGGACCACTGCTCCTATATTAGTTTTCAATGGGAATCTTTTATTCTAGATATAAAATATTAAGCATCCTTTGGAATTTTTCCTTTTCGCTTATATATCGCTACTTCTGCCACTGTCTGTTCTGCTCGCCCTTATTCAATCACGGTTATATAAAAAATCATGCAATACGTACCTGACAACGTGCACATTTTTTCACATATGAAGCTAATGGTAAATTTATAAAAAATTGTTTAGCTCGAAGTCACATTATAAATAGCCAACATCCTCTCTGGTTCGATGACAGAGCACTAAGCGTCCGTCTGCTACAAATAGATAGCAATTATCAGCCATCCTTTAGCCAATGTGTGTACGACTGATAAGAATCACCGCAAGTCTCGTGAGGCACTGAACACTTCATTTAGGTTGCTCGAACAACATAAGATCAAAGCACAAGTTATGCCCATTGAATTCGTTTTAATTTAAATTAATCTAATTATGCTTATTTTTATATATAAAATATGACTTCTATGCTTTGCGGGGAATTCTTCTGATAGGCAATTAATAGACAGAGAAAGTAACTCTATATATTTTAAGAGATAAAATCAAGTCTTTGCTAACAATGGTGATCTAATTATAGATGATAATATTTGGTATATTTTTCAAATGAATTGGCACCGTTCTTTTCAAATATTCAAATGAAAACAAAAAGAAAAACAATTTTCATTGCATTTTTCGGAATTGTATGAGTTTTATGAAAATCCAAGAAGCGTATCGTTAATCATCTGAACTGAAATCCGAAACAAAATAAGCCGAAAGCTATATGTTTTTATTGATTTTCTACTCGACATTTCGAACGAGATGGAGCTTTAAAACAACGTAAATGTTGATCAAACGTATTGATCCTGGGCCGTTTGAGATTTTTATGCTCTGCTCTATTTTCCAAAGCTCTATAAGGCTGAACATTTCAAGTAAAAATAAGAAAATATATAGTTTTGAATGCATCTTTTGACGTACCATTCGAATATGAGTTCGGATAACGTTCTCTCTCATATATTTTGAAAATATTGCCCAACGATGCGGTGTGTAAAAAAATGATGTTTGCGTTGAATACGAGGATTTATTCGTTCGCGTTGCGCGTACATAAAACGCGTAAATAAAAGAAAGCAAATGTTTGAATTGGCGAGAATGCAAGTGCAAGAAAGTAGATTGAAAGTTAAAATTGAGCGAGAAAAGCGAACGATGTAAGGAAGAGGAGTGCAAGGGTCGGCTTATCGACAACTCTCGTTGCAGTTTTCAGATCGAGTCGAGCGCCTACGGCAGTGCAATAGCCGAGCGCAGCGCTCGTCAACAGCAGGGCCAAATCGGTGATCCGACGGAGTTTGAACAGCAGCAGCAGCAGCAGCAGCAGCAGCAGCAGCTCTACATCAGCCGCGAGAGCGAGCAGCAGCAGCAGCCCCACCACCGAGAGCGCGCCGCAGCGGCAGAGACGGGCGCGGGAGAGGTCCCTGCGGTTCCCGAAGGAGGGGATAGCCAGTCGCCGAGCAGCCAGGCCACAGTCCCGACGGAAGGGAAGAGCACCGTCAGTCACATGCCTCTCGTCGCGATGCACCGATACCCCGCAGCAGTCGAGACGCTCTTGCCCGAGCACCACCACCACCACCACCACCATCACCACCACGGCCACGGCGCGCACCACGGCCTCGGCCGACACGACGAGGCGCAGCAGCAGCAGCAGCAGCAGCAGCAGCAGCATCACGACGAGCGCAGCTCTGCTGCCATTAACCTGAACGTGTTCCTGCCGAGCCTCGGCGGCCAGCCGGGCAGCGGCGCCGGCAACGGCGCTCACCAGCCGGCGCAGCACCTCGACGAGGTGCTCCAGCACGAGGACAGCTACCTGACGATGCGCGGCTCGGCCAACAGCGTCGAGGGCGTCTCGCCGGGGGCGATGCGCGCCGCCGGCAGCTCGCCCGGCTCCAGCCGCAGCCCGCACAACGGCGCCGAGCAGCCGCAGCAGGAGCTGTCGCCGCCGCCGCCGCCGCCGGCCGCGCGCCACACCGAGGCCCAGGCCTACAGCCCCGGCCAGGAGCAGGCGCGCCTGCAGAGCTTCACGCACCTGACCAACATGCAGCCGGCCATAGTGAACGTCAACCACCTGCAGCCGGACGACAGAGTGCAGCCCGACCAGCTCTACCTCGACTCGCTCTACGCGCAGCAGCACCAGGGCGCCGCGGTCGCCGCCGTGCACCACCACCACCACCACCACCCCGACCACGAGCAGAGCTCCACGGCGCCGCACTCGCCCACCGGCGCGGGGTAAGTCTCCATTCGGCTCTTTTGCCCCCCGTTGCGATCGTTGTTGTGGCGCGCGCGCGCGCGAGATGTTTGTTTACGATTGTCTGCCGATAAGCTGTTGCGTCGCTGATAACCCGTTCCGCGTGTTCTGCCGTGTGTTTCACTACTGCGCTTCTTCCTCGGCTCTCGTCTAGTCCACTGCCATTTTCAGCTAATAAGTCTGTCCACTATACAACCATCAGTGCTTCGCCAATCGCGTCTCGCCTTTTCTTCTTATAAATATCCTTTCGAATCTGTCACTCTAGTCAATAAATTACATCCCCTTTTCGATTCGTATTAAGCAGGTGCGCGCACGCTAACGTAGTTTTTTTAACCACTCAATGGCAATGAATTAACGAATGGAACACAATTTATGGTTTAATTCCTTTTGCAATTCTTCAATCAATTTTATTTTGCGATTAAAATACTTGATGACAAAAAATTGCTATAAACTCGCTATAGCTCAACTCCTGCGATCGCAACTCTCTGGATTTCATTAATTCGTTGAGCGATTAAAATTATTAATAAAATAATACTATGAACAAAATTTTAATGAGAATTAATACATTTTGAAAGCTTTCAACAAAATTGCATAGATTTCATAGATTTTCGAATGACCAGCCTTGGGTACTGTCAAATGTCATTCGCGTAAGATAATTCAAAAATAAAATTTAAAAATCAATTTGTGAATTTAATGAACAAAAAAAAGTAACTCTTATAATAAAAAATATGGAATCTTTCTTACACAGTAGAACAATGTTTGGCTTTGTTCGACTTTGTTCATGAATCAGAATTTAAAAATTTGAAAAATGACGAGCGTATGAGCACTCGGTCTTTAACTGTCACGAGAATTCGATGTGATTCATCGAATCCGACGAATCTGCAATGCGTTGCACGATGAGACGGACAAAATCATTTATTTTCTTCAATACGAACAAAGAGTGTACTTGCCACAGTGGTGATCGATTGTTCGCTACGAGAATCGATTTGGGTCAGTAAGTTTTCGTTATTTTTTTTTCTCATGCTCGGTAATGTTTTCATTAGGATTTAACTAGCACTACACAAACCCAACCCAAACATCGCGGCGTACGCATATGTTCATTCATAGAGCGGCGGCCAAGAGCCTGAAATCTGATACGGTGCAAGCTTGAGTTCGTCGTCGCTTGTTCGTTCTCTATTTTGACTTTGAAAAAAAGGGCTTTGGCGGGATTTTCAACGATGAAAAAAATATGCATGGCAAAAAGTCGAGGTGAAGTAAAAATAGAGTGGAGGGAGTGCGATAATGGCATGCCTGTATGTAAGAGGCGGAAGGAGAGAGGGCATCGGCTGAGCGATAGTGGGGAAGCGCATCGAACACGTCGGTTGACGTGTGCGTGGTGAATCGTCGAAGAAAGAGGGCAAAAAAGTGAAGCGGGAGTTAGCGAGCAAGAGAGAGAGAAGGAGAAGTTCTAGCCACCTTCTGGTCGAGTCGAACCACCGGAACCCCACGACGCGGACGGCGCGACGCCTCTCTTTCTCTGTCGCTTCTGACAAGCATACGCCTGGCTGTACTCGCGGCCAGATTTTCTCCTACCTCAGTTCCCGCTTGTCCAGTGACACACGCGCAGGCCTTTTCTCTCTCTCTCTCTCTCTTTTTCTCTCTGCGTCGATCTCGTCTAATCGAATCGATTCCGCTGCTCTATCTCATCGTTCTATTAATATCGGTCTCGTTGGTACACGACCCTGTGCCACCTCCCTCCTCCCGTCTCGCTTGATTACGCCCCCTTGTACGTTCGCAGTACTCTCCCACATTGACTTTCGATTTTGCAATCCAAGACCTATCGCAAGCTCGCTGGGCATCGTCTCCACAGGATAATCTATTGGCTCCGGCAGATACCTTATTGTTTTTAACATGCCTTCGTCGTTCACGAACGTGCAGTAAGTTTTTCAACATTTTTCTTATTATCAAAATGATAACACACAATAATTTTCAAACATACAACAACTCTTTTTATCAGACTCCGATTGCGAAAGCCAATTTTTTGGCTTTCTGTTTTGCAATAATACGATATGCGACTGAGGAATTTTTCGAGCTAGAAATTTCCTCTGTATTAATACCGGAAAAAGCTTTTTCTTTTGAAAACATTGCTAGCCGTAACAAATATCGAGGACTTTGGAGAAATTCAATTAAATTTTTTAAAAATGTTTTTATGCTAAAGTTGAAATATATAATAATGCACTGCAGCTATATATTAAATTGCACGTCTGATAAGAAAAGAATAGCTTGGGAAAGGGGATGCTAGGTCTCAAACTTTTTTTTTATTCTATTACAATTTTCAACAAGACTGTTAGATCCTACGTTAATAATTTCAACTGGTAGGAAGCATTTAAAATATTGAGTTTTTCCGACAACGTCGTCTGGACGGATTCACTGCAAGACGAATGTGAAACCCATAAATACTCAGTTTTTAAAGAAATTCCTCGCTCCTACCTCGAGGCAGTAATAAGTTACGGACCAGCATTACGTTTCTTTCCGCTTTCACGCTCTCCGTGATTTTGTCAACGTGTTAGAGCCGGAGCGCATTTCCATGTCTCATATAATTCCGTTCTAACACAATGAAAGTGGCAATCGTGCATGTTTTCGTGCACGGCCAGCTCGATGCACAATTGGTTTGACCGCAAACGTCTTCGATACACCGTTGTCATTGCCGCATCGAGGCGAGCAAGCAGGAGATCAGATAAAAAGTAGACAAGTCGAAATAAAGAGGAGTTTGAGGGGTTTGACTTGAGCAAATACCGGCATCCCGATACGCGCATCCTCGGTTTATCTAGCTCGATGTTTATCGGCCGTCCCCTGGGATTATCAGCGACCCGACAGAGCATAGACACATGCATGTGCGTGCGCGGTCGTGGGCGACCACTCGTGTTCTCTCTCTCTCTCTCTCTCTCTCTCTCAGCGAAGACCTTGTCTCGTCGCAACACGTCGCAAATATTTGTCCCCGTGCCGAGTGTCGATTATCGGCTTGACACGAGCGCGTGATGCATCGCTCTTTCGGGGGCAGTTAGGCAGTGGCGCACCTCGCAAAATTTCGTCCGCGACACGAATGCGGCCGGGGCCAAGTGGCGGGATAGGTACACCCGACGCTCGTCGCGGCCAACCTCGAATAAGAAGATCGTGAGAAGCGAGAAGGCCAGTGGCTGGCTGGCCGGCCGGCCGGTGGCGGACGACTGCACGGCGCGACGGGGCCGTAACCTCTTCTCGCGGTCGCGCTCGGTATTGTATTTCGCGGCTCGCGCATTCCGCCTTCAGCAAGCATTTAGCGAAGAGCGCGCCGGTGAAGAACCTTGGCGCTGCTGCGCGACGCGTAATCGTGATACGCAAGTAAAACACGAGCGTAGAGATGAGTATTTTATTCGACGACGGCGATGGGCAACGTGCTGAAATATACAGTATCCTCTGTCAGAAGTGTTGAGTAGGCTCGGTGAGTTCAGTCCCCCCAATCCTCGGCGACGGCGGGCGACGGCGGGCGACGGCGGGCGACGGTACGCGCGAACGAGGCACGCAATCGGCCACACATCGCGCGGCAAGGAACCAGACTGCAGCCAGCTAATAGACTGCCGGGCGCGCATACCGGAAGCGAGCTGACCGAATGCGGGTGTCGCCCGAGAGAGCGTTCTGCACTTTGCCGCCCGAAACACAACTACTCCATTACCGCTGCGGCCCGCGGCCAGTTAGCTACCTGGCGCCCCGCGAACCTTCGCGCGAGCTCCATCCCCGCCTTTTACCGGCGCGCTCTCGACCCCCAGCCGGAAATCTCCGAATGCGGGCATTTTTACCGTTTGATGATTCCGGAATCGGCTTCTCTCGCTGCAACGGACTCCGCGGGCTGCAGGGGCGAGATTGCCACGTGGACAACTGGAACGCTACCTGGCGCGTGCCCACGTTGCCCGCTCTCGCCAAATTATTCGGTAGCGTAGCGCACGAGCCTTGTCGCTCGCCACCGCACGATGTGCTCGTTTCTCGAGCCTATCTCCCCAAATTCTGTTAATCTTATCGCGCTGGATATACGTGACTTGCATCGTTATATCACAACTTTGTTGTTCGGCTTTTCCTTCAACGAAACAATGACTGCTGGCTGAATGTCCAGTGCGAAAAAAATCGAAAATTCATAAGGAATTGCGCACAAAGGCTGGTACGTTTGCAGGCCAATTTTTTTCCGCTCTTAACTTTCGAGTTTGAAGAGCGATTCGGAGCTGCCCTTCGACGCGTGGCTCGGTCGTCGGCAACAATGCTGCTGCCCACTGAACTCTGCAGGTGGAAATCGCAGCGCTCGATCGGACAACAATCCGATGGACTTGAAAGAGAAAGCGCGAGGTCCGCCGACGAGTAATGGCTTGTGTGTATATTATGGAAAGCTGAGGGATCGGGGGAAATTCGTTACGGTCATTAGGCCAACGGCAGACAGTGGCTATGCGGAGCTAAGTTTCTCAGAACCAATAAGTGTAGCGGACCATTAAGTTCTGCCAACATTTGCACGAGTATATGCATCCAATAGACGCTTGCTTCATTCGAAGCAATGTCAATTTAAGTAAAACTCGTCAAACCCAAAATTGTTAACCGCCTCGACGCCTTCAATTGTTCGCGAGAGGGTTTCTCAAAAAAGTTCACGTGCTGCGCGTGCGCTTCGTTAGAATGTTGAATTGTGATTCAACAAAGCTGACCTACTAATTTCGACGAGTCATTGTTAATGCAATTCGATATGTGACGAGACCTAATAAATTTCGTCGAGCTCAACGTTGTTATATCAAGTTTCAGAAAGTGCCGTGTTATTTTTCGTCTTTGCTAGTGTAAAAGACGAGTTCAAGAATCGACAAGCTTACGTGTGTAGTTGCAAATTTTCGCCAGCACCGCAGTCTTTTGAGCTCTTTCACGTGGTACACATGCGCCAGCGACGTCGTCGCGTCTTTTCATTCTTGTAATATTTACTTATCTACTGCAATCTGGCTTAGAGGTTGTGAAAAATTGTTTTCCAATCGAGAAGAATGCTAAACGAGACGACATGTGGCGCAGCGAGAAAAATATGCGCTATTCCGATGCGTCAGCGCCGTTGACGAATGGCTCGAGTGGACTTTAGTCGCGCATCCCCATGTTCGATCGGTCGTAGATTGGAAAGCTGTGAGTTGTCCTAACATTCCTCGATGATTTTTCCTGTCTGCAGCCCGAGCAAGCGTTTTCGGTACCGAGATATTGGTTGGTAAACGGTCGTCGAACAATGGTTAATCGGCTAGTCGCGCTCGATCAACGCAAATCGGAGTGACATAATGAAATGAGAATAAAAAATACGACGATGCATAAGCAAACAAAAATGTTTACCGATAACTGCCGTGCAAACAAAGCGGCCGCGCGAATAAAACATAGCGCCGGCAGCACGTGTATCATTTTGGATGCATCGCCGCGGTGACACGGAGGCACGTAGCAGTGCTACGAAACGTGCCCCAGTCACAGCGATGCCCAAGGCCGCTGAGTCGTATTGACATCTTCGCGAGCGTTTTCTGCTTTACTCCCGATAACTCGATTTTCCACGCAACTCTTGCTCTTTTTCGCCTCTTCTGACGACCAGTCGCAAATCGCTTACTCGCCGCTCAACATCGTGCTCGCATTTGCGCCTCCCCTCCCAACTGTTTTCCTTTTACGATAGCTACATTGCCTATTCGATGGAGAGTACAAGGTAAATGCCGCAGCTATTTTTTCCACACTTCTTGTTTTAGTCCTTGTTCTGCTTTGTCAGAGAAAAAATATTGAAAATTGTTTGACATTTGAATACGTTTGGCATAGGTATATGCTACTACGTATCTGCTGCTAGTGCGAGACTGCGTTCGTGGTTGGACGAGCTTTGCAAAAGTCTGATGGAATTTGGATTCATCGGAACTCGGATATTTAATCTTGAATAACAAACGCAATTAGTAAAAGTTTTCATCATTGCACCGAGGTTCACGTAAATTCACTAGTTTTATTATTCGAAGCTGACAATCGATCACTGGGATATCTTGGGCGAAAGTCATAATATTTTATCAAATGTCAATGCCAACAACGTTGTCGATTTACCTCTCTCAATGTAGCAATGCAGTAAAACCAAATTGTGAATAATGGGCGATCGTAATTGAGTCAAAAAGATAAGTAATCAAAGGTGTATTTATCTAAATACTTGGCAATTACATGCGAAATAAAGATAATTTTAATTTACAATTCGCGAACAATCATTGCTCGCCGAACAGCTGAAAGTTGCGTTAAAAGCATACGAGAATGGATAAAAGCAGTCGCGAACGTGTGATTTGAAAGCTATTTATGATTAAATTCGCGTTTTTTGTGCCATTTAGTAGAACATTAATTTGCCGGGTAAACATTTTTCTTGGTGATTCGTGCTGAATATAAAGAAAGAGCTTGCAATATTACTCTCAACGATGCGATTATACATTATGTTGCGCTGACTAATTTTAGCGGAACATCGAGAAGAATGGATATAACCGATGAATGTACAGAATAATACATTACGCTACTATTTCACACAGTGCGTGTTCGACTACAAAGTACTCCCGACTAGCGTATCATTCATTTTCCGCACAGCCCCGTGAAGGACTGATGCTGCGTATTCAGCAGGTGACACAGAACCGTATTTCGGACACTGTCTAATGTGTACAGTCAGTCGAGCCAGTCAGGCAAGAGCGGGAAAGGCGCATCGCACATGCGCGAGGTACTTTACCTCGTGTTGTCCATGCGGCTCTGTGTTCCCTACCTGAGAAGGGGGGGGGGGGGCGCACAGTCACCACTTTGTGTGCAGTCTGAGAGACAAAATGTATGTAGGATCGAAAAATTAACGTGAGACACATTGTTTACAGCTCGTCGTTGTATCGGATACCCGGCGTCGGCACCATTGGCAGTGGCGGTGGCTCCGCGCCAAGCTACTCGATGTATATGAATCCGTCTGCTGAACTCGGCCCAGGACCACAGCAAATATGGACTACCCAAGGTGATTACCAGCTGCCAATTGTTCATTACAGCCTCGTCGTGGTTAAAGCTAATCTACATAACGAATTGCTCGTGTGCGTAGTGTCGGCTCTGCCGCCGCTTGGCGACGAGTACGTGGGCAAATCGACGTCATCGGTGGTTAGTCACCAGAGCCTGCCGGCGTTCTCGCAACCCTTCCCAACTCGTTTTCGCTACTCACCGTCTTACACCACGCAGCAGGCGTCCGCTGGCGAAATAGTTACTTGGTCGACTTACAATGCTGCCCAAGCAGCCGTTGCTGCGACAGACTCGCCTTATAGCGGTAGCAATCTCGTGTCCAACTCCCAGCATCGAAGACAATCTAGCTCCGCCGTCAATTCTTCGTCCTGCGTCCCCACCTCGCATCAGCTGCCACCGACTCTTTCTACCAGTAAGTCTCCATTTTATCTGTTGCTTTCAATAAACCAGTTTATTTTATTCATTCATTGACAAGCTACTCGACAAAACTAAAATGAGTATGACGGACGTAGAAATGCGATGACGTCGCAACAATCGACTTTCCGTGTAACGTTCAAAATGAATTTCGAGTGAAATTAGCTCCAGACTAATTAGCGACTAATTAAGAAATACATTTTTTTGACATGGTTAAGAGAAGTAGACTATTGGAGTGCAATTAAAAACGATGACTTAAGAACCGTCCTTGACATTCGACACGTAGCTCTCTCTCTCTCTCTCTCTCTCTCTCTCTCTGTCTCGCGTCCGAAGTGAACTTATCATAATAATAAATGACCCTCCGAACTCCGCAATCATTTTTCTCGCGGTCTCGCTTCTACAAAGATCAGCCGTCGGCCTCCCGGATCGTCGTAAAAATCGACATGGCTCTGATAAAACGTGTCATTCGCGCGCGCGATCGCTTAACGATTTTAACTTTCACTTGGTATACGAACGCTTGCCTGGGCAGTGAGCCTCGCTTATCGCACTCGCTGCGCGTCGGACACACGTTTCATTATGGACGTTCCCAACGTTGTGCAAAAATAATGAACGAGCCAACGCGCAGCTGCGATAAGTTTCCCCGAATCACGCTTTGTCAGAATGTTCCATGCGGTATTGCCCAAAGTTCGCTGCTTTTTTATCGTTCGCTTTATGGTCTGTTTCGGCTTGTTCAGATAGTATTTAAATTTCAGCTCGACACTTGTTCTACGCTTGCCGCTCGTGCTCGTCCGTTCTTTTGCCCCCAATCTCAACTATTTTTTGACGAATGAAATAATAAACGAATCGTTGAGTTTGTTCATTCAGTGTTGATGAAAAATCAAGTGAAATAATCATGCGAATAGCAGTGTTGTTTGATCTTACATAAGAAAATATCAAAAAGATATTATTTTTGTCGCAAGTTGATATGATAAAAGAAAACCATTGAATAAAATTGAAAATTGTTTTGTTTTGATAAGGATAAAGTAATTGAGTCGAGTGATATTTTATAAAATGTTGAAAATCTGAACGCTTCAACGGTTTTTAACGAGTTTCTTAGACAGGCGATGCGCGTCAATGTCGCGATGGGCGAGTGATGAGAAGTGTAGATTCGTAGGGCGTGAATCCGGAAAAATTGAAAGGCAATTTGGAGATAGCCGTGCGAACGGGTGATTAGCCAAGCGCAGTGACCTTGCATCGCGCCTGCCTGATCATCATCAGCAGCGGCATCCGAAATAATCGGAGGCTGCCTCTGCACTCGCGCATAGATGAGCGGCGTATCGCAATCGCGCCGATTACACCTACGCGTCGTCTAGGTCAGGGCCTGCCCGATATACGTCACGTCGTCAGTTGGCGCGTAATCCTACGATTAGACAAACGCTCGATGATGCTACTGTACGCTGCCTTCTAATGCTTATCTAACGCTGATTCGCTCTATCTTGCGCCCAGCTGATTTCCTGCGTAAACTGCATGTCGCCGGCTACAGTCGAATATTGCTGCTCCCCTGTCGGTTGTTTCTCGATTGGGCAGCGCCGTGCAAAACGCCGCGCGTTGCGATTGTTTGTTGACTGAAATGCGGAGTTTATCAATGGTAGCTGGCGCATCAGGCAATCATCATCGGGGCAAAGAGACCGAGAGCGAGAGTTCATTTATCGGCGGAGGATTGCTGTGTAGTTTATTAAGTCTACGAGATAAGCGAGTGTCAGAAGCATATAGTGCCGCTGATCGGTAGCCGTCGGCGGCTGCGCCGAGCTTGTCATTGACCCATGCCAAGCCGCCTCTATGTATAGCCGATAAAACTCTGCGACTGCTTATATACCTCGACGATAACGACGCGCATCAAATCCCTCCGCGCGATTCTCTCGATATCATTTCGTGCGTAGGCCTTGCTGGCTTGCTGGTTTGCCGCCTTGGTGCTGCTGCCCCTCAACGCGGCGTATCGACCAAGCGCTACTTTTCGCTCTTTCGCGCACTCGCTGCGGCATTTTATTTATTTCAAATTGCATTTTCATTGCGCGCGAACGACTGATAACGCATGCTTTTGCCGCAAACTCCCTGTAAACAGGTACACATCGCTGAATTAACGTCAGTTCTGAATCCATGGATGTTTAGACTCGAACGCGAATATTTTCACGCGTGCCAGATAAAAAAAAAAACAAGTTGCCTTTTCCGTGAGACTTGCCCCGGTTGATTGTCCGAAGTGTGCACGAGCAACAACAGTTGGTCGCCTGGTCGATTATGCGCCTTTCTAGAAACTCAAGATTTTTATTATGGTACACAGTTGAATTTAACGAGTTTTGAAATAGCACGCCGTCAAATGAAAACTGAATCGTACGAAATACGCGTATTCGAATGCGTGAGCGCGAGCTCGGAAATAAAGGCTAAGCTCTCGTGCTCTCGTCGTGTTAAAAAACAGACGTGTGCTTTTTTTCAACTTTTACGTGCGTCGGCTCTTGCGAGCTCGTGGTAAGTGTCAAGCGATCGGTGGGCGTGTGCCGCGCAGTGCTTAGCTGCCCCCACTGGAGCAGGCTGTTTATAGAGGAAAACAGACAGCGGCAACGACGCGCGAGCGCGTTCTTCGCGTCAATGTTCTTTCGCTGCTGCAAATTGACGTCTGCTTTCGCACGTTGCCTACGCTTCGGAATAACTCACATTGGGGATGGCTCTTGAAACGCTAATCGTCGGATCCACGGCAACTGACTTGTTTGTAAATGAGTCCTCGCAATCGTGGAAGTACGGTTAGAATTGAAGTTGGCCGTGGAAGTAGACTGTGAGAACATACGTATGGCTAGATTAGTGAAGCGAGCGGCGAGCGTTTAAAAAAAAAAATTACTGTCTCATTTGGAAACGATACGTTGCTTCAGGGCGTAGGACGCGCAACATTGTATCGCTGTTTGAAATCGGATTATCGCTTTTTAATGGCTTCTTCAAAGTCGTGTCTTTTTCAGACGAAGTGCAGTAGCACGAGATACGCCCATTAAAAACCAAACTGCGCGGCCTTCGCTCCGTGAAAATCCTCTTAACTAGACATTAATAATACCTTGAAGTGTCATTAAAAAGTGGAAAAAAGCCCGAATGACTGGAGGGAGGACGACGGGGGTGTGGGGAAACTCGTCGTAAATCGTCGTAGGTCCTCCAGGCCGAAGTAGGGCTTGAAGCGCGCGCGGAGAGCCGGGGGAAGGCTTCGCACGCGGGCCGGGCCCCCGACGCAACATTTTCTCGCGCGGTCCAGAGAGCGAGATGATGCGCAGCGAGTGCCAGCGAGCGGCTCGGGTTACAGCGCGTGGGCGGCCGCGGAGAAATCAGAGCGGAAAGGCATCACTCCTGACGGCAGGACAAATCTGCCTCGATAAATAACGAGCGGAGAGGCCGGCGCGCTGACCAAAATATTGTCGATTCGTTGGGCGTCTGTCCCTGGGAAAGTTTCAAGTGGCCTCTGCTTGCTTAGAACCCGTAGAGTAGAGGCCGAGCTCTGGCGCGGCGTTGGGTCGCCGAGAGACTGAACAGAGTTGCGACGAAGAAAGGGAGAACAGGTCGCGAAGCGAAAAGCTAAAAGCGCTCATGAGAGGTGAGCACTTGGCGCCGCAGCGCGCGCAGCAGCCCCGTACGAGGCAGGCGCTGTCGTGCATCATCCCGAGTGGCTGCTCTCGGGGCACGTGCGATGCTTTTTATTTTTGGCCTCGCAGCCTCGGTCCGTCGCGGCCGCGTCCCGGTCGCGCCCCGGCGGCTTCAGGGATCGCTCGCGCGCGGCCGTTCCCAGTCGAATGCCAGCGCCCGTAGACCAACTGGAATTACAGCCGCGTCAGCGGCGTCGCTCGTCTTTCGCGCGCAAGTACGGCAGGACAACGGGGCGACGGCAGGCGCCACTGCGCGCATACCGCGGACGCGGCTAGGCCACGGAGATACGGCAGGCCTGCGTACGCGTATAGCTGCATCAGCCGGCGGCCGCAGCAGCCCTTGCTCGTACTGTCGATCGCAGCGACACCCGAGCCACATTCTCCGCCCGGTTTCTCGCTAATTGCAGCTGTATAACGCGGCCATTAAAAATGTAATGGCACGGCTGTTCGCACTTCCGAGGAGAGCCGAGGGTAACGCGATATACGCGCGTGCCACCACATCGCGATGCAAGGTTCATTCGATTATCGAGCGCCGCCGAGCCGTCGACCGGTGCGGCGGCTTGCGTGGCGTAACGGCGGGCATGCGACGCAGTCCGAACGCTTAATTGGCCCGAGCTCGAAGGGGGTCTGCTAAGCGCGGCCGCGAGCGCACTGCGCTTATCGCCGGAAGCCCCCCGCGATAAGCCACATGTCCTCTTCCTTCTTCTGCCCGCGCCCTCGCCTGCCCGCCTCGTACGCCACTCTTTCCGCCTACGGCTCTCTGCCTTCTTTCGTATTTTTACACCGCCGTCTAACTCTCTCTCTCTTGTGGCGGACATGCGCCTCGAGTACGCGCTCGCGCAATAGGACGTTAGCCGATGGACTCGCTGCCGCGTTAAAGCACCATCAGAAACAGCTTAGCGCGCCAGCTCGAGCCAATTGCCCGAGGAAAAGTGCTGTCTTCGTGGAAAAACACGAGGACGGTATCGAGCGCTAATTATGCAGGTGGCGCGCGCGTGGCAGAAGCTATAGTCGTTCGACGACTCGCCTGTGCTGCTGTTGCTGCTGCTGCTGCTGCTGCCGCTGCTGCTGCTTCATTGTCGCTTGTTTTCTCGGCCAGACGACGCTGCGAGCGAGCGCAACGCCTGTTCGGCGGGGGCCTCTTATCGCGAGCGCGAACAAGCAGCACGAGTGCGGGTATCCGGACAATTGTTCGGAGGCGCTAATCGCCGCGACCTATGCGGACGAATCGTCGAGCGTGGAAAAAGGGTACCAGGCCACGCGCCGCGACTTTCTAACCGAATTTGCACTCCAATTGGCTGCGCCGTCTACGGCCGTATTCGATTGATATTCATTCGCATGCATAAGGACTGCACGAGCGACGAACGCGGGAGGAGGAATATCTGAAAGTAACATGTAAATGAAAAACAGTGCACAACATCGAGGCCGAGTACTTTACGGAAGGCCGCGAGTGCGTGAATTGCGGGGCGGTGTCAACGCCGCTGTGGCGACGCGACGGCACCGGGCACTACCTCTGCAACGCCTGTGGACTCTACCACAAGATGAACGGCATGAATCGGCCGCTGGTCAAGCAATCCCGCCGTATGGTAAGCACTGCGCGCAAAGCGACCAGCAATACAGCGCAACTTCCGCAAGATCGACCAGAGACGACTGCTGCAGCACAGCCGACCATCCGCCCAGCCCTCCGTCCCTCCCATTCATTACTGTTCATGTTATTGTGTATTTGAGTGGTGAGCGACGCGCCTGCAGACAGGCAACCCGTCGCTCGTCGCTCGCTCGTGTACTGCCTGCGCGCAGGCAATCAGGAGCCTCTGTGGATATTCGCCCTTGGCCGAATTGCCCAAATTTATTACATATCGCATGATCACACTCTCGGAATAGATTAGCTTGCCGAAGGCACAGCGTGATAGTCAAAAATGAAGGGACAAACAAAAGCTCTCTTTGCTCTCGAAAGTCTGATATGAAAAAAGACGACCCAGTTTTGAGAAAGAAAAAACGAAACGTCCTAACTTTTGGCCTCATGTCTGTTTCAGTTCAATCGGACCAAAGCGATATCTACAAAGGCTTCTGTGGGTATAGTGGCGTTCCTCGCAACCTCGAAGAGAAACCGTCAAATCGTCGTTTGGTAGGTGTCATACCCGTAACGCCCGATCCAGTCCGCAACACACATTTGTTTTTTTTCTACCAATCTCTACGCTTTATACTCTTCCTTCGCCACATTCTCTTTGTATCATTCTTCTTCTCCTCGATATTTGACCCCTCAGTTGCTCATTACACTCTATTTTCTCATTCATCTTTCGATATGTAAATCTGTATCTGCTGTTACAAGTCTAGATATTCAATTGGATGACAGTGTTTTCAGTGAATCATTCGACACGAATCAATCATTCGTAATCATAAAGCAACTTATTCACGCCAGCAGACTCACCTGTTAACTATACCCTTCGCAGTAGCTGCACATTACATAATACTAGAAATTTCATAATCATATGTGTAGCTTGAGGTGCCACTATACCCATGGTATAAGCTTACACGAAATCACTCTCCTGAAGTCACGCCTACAGCCTGGGACTCAAATTTTAACGTCACTGGACATAAAACAAACGCATCTTTTCAAAGATTTCATTATTTATGTTGTTGATGAGTTTTCCAGGCCAATAGCGTGACCTTAGGAAAGCGTGGCTCTGCTCCCATTCTCTCTGGTAGAACTTTCGGTCTTTTTAAGGTATTTGGCTTAAAAATGGTAACAGTCTACTTTTGCAATTGCCTGAGTTGAATGTTTGCCTCTGCACACTTCCAAGTGAGTATCTTTCCATTTCTATTTGAACGCAAACGAATCACGGTAGCAGTTGCCATTTTTGCCACTACACCAAAGTTTCTGGTTGATGAATTATTAATGAGTCTCGCGATCTGGCAACGAAACTAATCCTTATTGTTGTTTTCGAAAAACAGTCGGCCTCCAGGCGCGCGGGATTGCAGTGTAGCAACTGTCGCACGCAGACGACGTCTCTGTGGCGTCGCAACGCCCAGGGTGATCCGGTTTGCAATGCCTGCGGTCTCTACTACAAATTGCACAGCGTCAACAGGCCACTCACCATGAAGAAGGACTCTATCCAGACACGCAAACGCAAGCCGAAAAACGTGAAAATCGGCGACACCCCGATCTCTGGTTCGGTAGCTCCTTGCACCATTCCTCACAACAACAATAACAACAACAATAACAACAATAACAACAGTCTCAAGATCGATCCAGGTAATTATTCAGGGAGTTGCGCGGTGGTCGGCATTACGCGGCATTCAGCAAATCATCATTTTTTAGACACTTTGAACTTCAACTGCAATGACTTGCGCCTGAACCACGCTGGTGTCACGCAGACGAGCTACGTGCAGAGTCTTTACGGCAGCCAGACACCAGTCAGTCGGATACAAACCATCTCCTACCAGCCTGAGCTCTATTACGATGCGTTACAGCAGCAACAGCAGCACCATCATCAGGATCAACAGCAGAGCCACGTACAAGAGGCTCATCACTCGCCGAAGGAGGAATGCCCCTCGCCATCGGGCGCCACTCGCTCGCCAGTACTCACCTCGGCCGGACACTCGCCTGAGCGTCATCAGGCTTCGCACATCGTCGCTCTTAGCAATTCCTCGCCAGGTCCCAATGGCAAACTTCTCATCGACACACTGGACCGACCCACTGTAGTCTCCATATCCTCGTAGACCTCTCGTCGCTCAATGTCGATTTTTACGGTTATGTGATCAACTAGTTATTGTTTTAAATGAAGCAAAGTCACGACTTGTTGTGTCAACTTTTTCTCGCCACGCTAACGAATTAACAGTGAAGATCATTTGTAATCATGACATAGATGGGTTAGTTTCAGCAAAACTTTGTGTGCGTCACTTCACGTATAAGTGTGATGCATCTTCACTGGAATCTCGTTAATTTTATCATAATATCATTTGGCAGAGGCCAATTCTTTATTGTTTATTATTATTATTATTATTATTATTATTATTATTAAGATGTAAGTTGTATCTTTTAACTGTGCATCTCTCTTCTCTCTTTTGTATATAACTATATTTCTTTTTATAACGTAACTTTCAATTACATTTTTATTAGTTTGTAAGTGACGCAGTTCTTATAGATCTGTTTGTACATTATGCGAATTTAGAAAGCTACATGGACAGAACGTTATTGATATGAGTAAATGCATTGTTGGATTTCGATATTCTACAAGACATATTGTTATGTTTCTAGAAAACATTATTTTTAAGTTACTTCCAACGAATTATGAATCAAAAGTAATATTTCCAAGAAATTTAAGTTATTGCCGAATATGTTTTTATATTTGTAAGTTTTGCATGTATAGTGATTATTGTCTTTAATCAATTCTGCGTTTTATTGCGGGTGTTGAGGTTTCTCTGTAAAAACGAAAGACGGCATTAAGAGTTTTATAGGTTTAAAATTTATATTGATTCTTGGACTTTTCAGTTCAATAATATCATAAATTGACGATTGTCTGACCAGCAATTATGGCATAACATAGTAATATTTTTTAACTTAAGATACTTCGATTCTGTCAATCTTTGTTTTTCTTATTAACAAACATAGATAGTATTGACAGACGAAGGTAAGCAGCACAATACCAAATTCTAAGTGACAATATTTTGTAAATAAATAAGTTTTGTAAAGTATATTTTAAGATAATAAAAGCACTTTCATTTGGAAATCAAAATATTTGTTAGTTTTTTCGTTACCTATAGAAATATTTGTGCATTCTTGTATTTATTATGAATCCTTCCACCTTTCAAAGTAATTAATGTCTATTATTTAGATCTCTAGAGGCAGTTTTATTAGAACAGCAGCTATTATTATTATTATTAATATTTTAATATTATCGATGATTTCTTATATAAAAATGTTTATCAACAAAATGTAGGCCGAATAGACAAAAACGAATAAATATATTTTGTAACGGAGGAAATATTTATTTGAATCCAAACCATTATTTAATTCTCGTTGTGAGGCTAACCGCCGCCTCGTTGTCGTTGCGTTGTTGTAAATGGAGCAGGTCGCTAGCTAGAAGTGCGAAATTGTCTGCGTTGCAAATCATTGTCTTGATGATCGACAAGGTTAGTTGCGTGCAGTATTAGGTAGGTTAAATCAATTACATGACTTGTTATTATTTACTATAAGATCTTTTCTCGATGACAGCATATATACATAATTCTATATATCTCAAATTACGAGAAAGAAAAACCGCATCCGCGAGTTTAACCCACGCAATGACATTTATGACAGGACAGAACTTATGTTAAATGAGGCGGGGTAGCGAATATTCATCGCTAAATGAAACAAAGGCTCTTGGAAAAGCTAGCGCCGACGTACTTGAATCAACCGGGTTGAAAATGGACGACTTTGCTGTTTAGCTCCTTTCCTGCGGCTACTGCTCCGGAGATTGGCGACGACAGTTCTTGCAACCACACAACATTCTCCTCCTGCACCACATACTCATAACTCTAGGGAATTACTTATACGTAGAGGTGCCTAGTGTACTACTGCAACGTTCCACGTGGACGTAATTCTTGAAGTCACAATAACACTCGCAGCTCTTCGTACTCTTCTGTAACACAATGTCCGTGATGTTCCTAGCTTCGCTTGCCGCCCGATTCCAATTCACTTGACCTGGAGGAAATCTTCCGCAACTCAGAGTGAGCACGCGTAGCTCGGTCAGAGATCATTCTCTCCCTACTACACGGTTACTCTCTCTCCTTGAAGTAAACCTTTCTCGCCGCACCTCTTCGCTTGCAAAGGCAAACATACGCTCGAAATAGCAAGAGTCGTGCAAATTAATTTATTGATTTTATCGCTCGGTACAGTTTGTAATATCATATGAGTATAAGTCGAAAAGATTATTTTACTTTAAATGTATTAGTAAGGGAGGAAAAATAATATTTTCAGAAAACATTTTATTAATCTACTTTTACAGCTACATTTTCTGATACTTTAATAAAAATCTAATCTAAAACCGTTTTTCTTGAGTTACTCAGTTCAATTCTAAGCGATACCGTCTACTAAATGACTCTTTTTGTAGAATCATTCTTTACTCATACCTAAAGTGACATCGTGAGCACTTATCGACAGATTTTTTCAAAACCCTTTCTGCTATGACATCATCTGATAAAGGTTGTGCCTTTGTGCAATGCAACTTTAACTCGACACATTTAAATAGCACTTAAGATTGTTTAAAGTAATTATATGATACGGATAATACAAAAATATCAAGCAGCATTATTTGGTTATTATTTAGTTGATTTCATAGAACGTTAATTATAATTAAGGAAAATGTACTAAAGTTGGAATGTCTATTGGATTCATGTTTATATTTCAATTTTCAAATTTTATCTTTTGCATATTTCTGATTAGATGTGACTGCTAGATAGTAATTATTAACTGTTTAGTATTGTCAACGACTATAGATGTCTAACTATCTATAAATATTTGTTGACAATATTAAACAGAACCACGTGTGTCCGTATAGTGTACTTTGAAAGCAGCATACTTTAACTAAGAAAAATAAATATTCCTTAGCAAAGAGCATATCAATTTATATATATTTCAATTGTCAATTAGACTGTTTGATCAAGATTAATCAACAAAATCTGCTGCCTATTGACCTTGAATAGGCTTTTAAGGCTCTCTATCAGAGTTTGAGCGAAGATTATCTAAGATAGAGAAGTACAGAGTTCGTTCAATTCGAAAATGATAAAATGCGTGCAACAGATTAGCCGACGAAGATAAAATAGGATTTTTTCCGTGAGCATTTTCCTGTATAATACATTATCGAATGCTTATTGGGAAACAATACTTTTTCGTCGAATCATTATATTATAATCAAGTCATGAATTTGATCTACAGCTGTAAGTTTTTATTTGTGCTTTTGTACTGAAGTTATGATGCAGAGTCTAAAATTGGTAAATAAAATAAATTTAAGCATTAATAATTAGAAAATAAGTTTTCATTGTTTTTAATTGTTCAATAGCCATGTGTAAAAATCGTAAGTTAACTTAATAGAGATAAAATAAGTCAAATAAACTAAAGATATGATTGCGTTAATCATACTGTGACAATGCTAATTATGATAAGATATTGATAAAGTTTCTGAAATATAGAGATAATTTATAGATAATATAGAGATAATTATTCAAATCATAATTTCTGTTGCATTTTCGGCTTTATCACTATCAAAGACAAACAATCACGACTATAATTCTAATAATAAATGATAAAAAACGTCGATAAATTTATCTAATCAATCAGATTTGAAAGCTGGTGCATTGCACCTTGCGAATAAACACGATTGTTTGAAATATCCATTGTATAGTATTGCGATAATATGTAATTATGTATATGATTGTTCTGTGTTCTCTGCAACTTTATTCCTGTGTAGAATAAGACAATTTAGAGCACTAGAAGTATATAATGATGTTTTCATGTTTTTCTTTTCACCAAGGTGATAATCGACCTGTCGCAAAAAGCTTTCTACAATACAACTGTACGAATCGAATAGTAAAATATAGTACAAACCCGCATGATAACGCGATGAAAAATGTTGAAGAAAAATTGTAGTCTGAAAAGTTTTAATAAAAAAAAAAAACAGACGAGCTGCTCGCGGTTTTAAGCGGAAAAGCTGAAATAAGCTGGCGCGTAAGAGTACGAAAAGAAAAAATAGTCGCGCGCGCGATACACCATACGCACGTGCTGCGAGCTTATGTGCTCTCGTTTCGAAATCTCGCGGCTAGACGGCGTGGGCGTCTTGCTCATTCGCACACCTTGGTGTAAGTGCGCACCTGTGTCAAGTAGCAGCAGCAACAGCAGGAGATACGACGGTACGGACGACGCAACGTGTGCTTGCTACTCAGCCACTCCGAGTATTGCTATACCAATCTCACCATCGAATATCCATCACCACTGCATTTTCATACCGCTTCCCGAACATTTACAACGTCAGGAGGATAAGCTGGCTTCGAGCTGTCGAGGTACGTTACTGTTCACTTTCTTTCATTTCGTTTCCCTCTCGTTAAACAACGGCGTGCAAGTATCGTCGCTCTTGTGAACTACTTTTGAACGTGATTTGCCAAACTTCTTACCAACACCGCTGTTTTATTAGCAATCTAATGGTCGGGTACGGGACTTGGAATATCAGATGTCGGTTTTGCGATCGAAGAGTTGAACATTCATTCGTTTAGCTTGCTCTCAGTATTTGCTAATTTTGAAGAAATTTTCCCGTTCTTTGGAAGATCAACATTGATGAAAAAGCGCATGAGTCACTATCGAAATGAAGCACCGCAGTACACGAGAATTCATAAAATACGAGGTTCGTTCAAATATAAGCGATCGCGCCGACAATGGCAAACGAAATGGAAATGCGACCGGAGGCATTCAATTGGAACATTAGTATCCAAGTGAAACGTTAATGTGGATCCTCGACGTAATAGGTATTCATGAAAAGCACAGGTGGCCGCGCGCTGGATTTTCAGTCGCGATCGCTGCTGTGGTTGCTTCTTTTGCTGCTGTTAATGTTAGTTTAAATGTCCAAACATTGAGTTACATTCACGCGAATATTAATGAAATCGAACCGAAAGAATATGGCGTCGAGCTATTTCGTTCGTTTTCCCCTTTGAATTTTATTCAGACATGTTGTACTGTAGCTCAGCAAGCACGTTTCAGGCATTTCGTGTAGAAGTATCAAGAATTGTAATAACACTTGCTCTCCAGTATTTAGAGCCCACTCGAATAAACTATTCATCCATTGGTGAGAAATAAAATGTTGAAAACGTGTACGTACGCTGGAATAATATTCACACATACGCACCACCGATTTATTAGCTGTTCTTGGTTGCACACGACACTTTTTATTTCACCTTTCAAATCTCAAATTCATAAAGCAGTCTGAACAACGTCCATGACTTTGTTTTAATAAATCATATGTACACAAACGTGCGCGCGGCAGCGAAGATTTTCTGAACGCGCGTGTTCGCTCTCGGTTTTATTTCGGCGAAACCGCCTAATGAGCAGGTTGCTGAATTGAAAATCTGTTAACACTGGTTGGCATTGTGCACACATGAAATGGCAAAAAGTCGAATTGTGTGCGCACGCGAGAGAGAGAGAGAGAGAGAGAGAGAGAGAGAGAGAGAGAGAGAGAGAGAGAAAGAGTGACGGAGAAAAATCGCGAGGTAATAGCGCTTTTATGCTCGAGTTTCGACTGCGAGAGCGACGGCACGGCGGGCAAGTGCTGGCTCACCGTGCAGATACACTGGCTGCGAGCTGTTTGATAAAATGTTTTATTAATGATTAGGGAATCGTAGCTGCAGATTACAATACGTGGTAGATAATGAAAATTAAGTCGTTAGACGATAACGGCCAACGTTCAAATCGATACACCACGGCAGATACTCCTGTATCATACACGCGTGTATCCTCGGATATTTCTCTTGTACTTTCATTTTCATCCCTCGACTCACGCACCATTTGCTCCTTCAGTATTATCAATGCATGAACCGTGCTCGATATTTTCAACAGCGAGCGACATCCATTTCTATCAATCAGTGTCCAATCCAGCAAATACTATAATTCACTGTAAACTGATCTTCCAAATCAATTATCAAAACTTTATTGTTGATTTATTATTTGCTCCTGTGCTTCTTATAAAAGCGCTACTGCGAATGTGCTTTT